GACTGGTTCATTAACACCATACAATAGGGCTGGGTGGATGGGAAGACCCTGAGCACGCGATCTAGTTTCGGTTTCCAGGAAAGCTGCAAGTTATTGAACATGGCTTCCAGCATGCATTTTCGTCAAGATATAACTATTTAAATATGCTTGCTTTCAATCACAGTCTGGATAGAATCGACAATCAGACAAGCCATATCTGTCAAGAAGGACACCTAAACGTATCAGATGTTTTGATATTTTTTATTCAGATGATGAAAGTAAACGGTCTAAACAAGATCCAAATATACAATATAGGACTTCCGGTTGCGCATGGAAAGAGATAGGCCACGTTGAAGACGCGCTCCGCCGCCCCACAGGCTATCGTAAGCAATCCTGCCAAATAACTCCAGTGAAACACTGCTCTGTGAAAACAACATTTGCAAACAGTTATTAAAGACAATTATAAACGATTATTTAACAAATACGCATCGACTGTGAGCAGTTTAATATCTCCAAAAATGGCAACACAAGCAAGTTCGGCTAACATGGAGGAGATTGTAAAGTCATCTTAGAAAAGATTACGTGAACTCATCCTAGATGTGAAAACCGAGCTGAAAGATTCTATTGACGGGATTAAGCAGCATATAAGCGATTTGAAAACCAAAGTTGACAGTGTTGAACATGATGTGTCGGTGCACGATGGTGAACTGACCAAACTTCGCGTGGAAATGGCCGCCATTAAACAAGCTCACGACAATCTTGAACGTCAGAGTATTCTTAAAGACATACACGACAGGAAGACTAATCTCCTTTTCTATGGTCTGCCAGAACGTCCAAATGAAAACACAGAAAACACACTTTAAATTGTTCTTTATTGACAAACTCAAGTTCAGCCAGGACAGAGTTGATACCATGTTGATCAAAACCGCGCATAGACTCCCAAAAAGCGAATACCAGAGGCAGCACAAGCCAACGGCTCCGCCCAATATCATCGCTACTTTCGTGAAAAATGATGGACCGGGACGATCTACTACGGGCACGGAAAATACTACGAGAACAGACAGAACGGTACAGCATCCAGACAGACCTACCCCAATGTTAAAGAAGTGACGCTATCCTGAGCAGACAGCCGACCGAAATACGCGAGAAACAGAACGTGTGGATAAGGGTGAGAGTCGTGGGGGTGGAGGTCGTACTGGAGACGAAGGAGCCGCACACTCAATCTTCTCAATGGAAAAGATATGAATGACACTTTACAACAGACACTGAGGCTGACTGAACATTGTTTTGTTCGCTATGAGTGACTGTTAATACCACCATTTCTGTTTTTTTCACACTTGAAATGCATAATAACAAATATTGTCTTTTAGTTTCTAACAAATCTTGCACTTCTAGTGTGTGTGTTTTGGAATTGTTATAATTTTATACAACAGGTACAGCACTCATCTATGTATGAAATTATGTGAATATAACGAAACACCCAAATGTGTTTTGCTTAAAACTTTGACATGTCGTAACTTGAACAGTACGCAATGCAAGCGTTGTATTACGACTGGTGTTCTTCGCAGGTTACTCTATGCGATCTGTGCCAGATAGATTTTCACTTTGAACTCTGTTCAGTGAGTATGTTTTGGGTTTGGTTATCATTTTTAGTAATACCACCGTTTAATTTCGAATATCATGGCACTCATCCATGTCTGATAATGTGAATATAACGAAACACCCATATGTGTGTTTCTTAAAAACTTTTTATATGTCGCAATTTGAACAAGTACACAATGCAAGCGTTTTTTTTTTTTTTACGATTGGCGTTCTTTCGCGGTTTACTTTTATGCGATCTGTGCCAGATAGATTTTCACCTTGAACTCTGTTCAGCGAGAATGCTTTGGTTTGGTTATTATTTTGAGGAATACTATCGTAACCGTTTTATTTCGAATAGACACATGTAGAGCAATAGTGTGAAGTTAACGAAAACACCTATATTTGTTTTGTTTTGTTTGTTTCTTTTTACTTTGATGTGTAATAACTCGAACAATACGCAATGCAAGCGTTGTACAATGATTGATGTTTTTTCTCTGGACTATTTTGTGATCTGTGCTGTATGGATTTTCATTTCAAACACTTGGACTCTGCTTTAGTGAGCGTCTTTTTTGAAATTACTATAATTTTGAGGAATACTACTGTTGTATATTGAATAGATACCGCATGTAGAGCACTCATCTATGTCTGAAATAATGTTGACATAACGAAACACCCATATGTGTTTTTCTCAATTTTTGGGACATGTCGTAACTTGAACAGAACGCAATGCAAGCGTTGTATTACGATTGGTTTTCTTCCGCGGGTTACTTTGTGCGATCTGTGCCCGATAGATTTTCACTTTGAACACTGTTCAGTGAGTGTGTTTTGGTTTGTTATTATTTTGAGGAATATTACAGTAAACCGTTCTATACAGAATAAGTGTTTTTTTAAACTTTGATGTGTAAACTCAAATCAACAGAATATGGTTCCTTTTTAAAAAAATTAATTTTGTTTCTTAACATCTGTGCAATAAAGGCAGGAATATAGTCTTTCTATTTAAACTTGAATGATCCTGTGGAGGGTAAATGTCCCCATTTCTTCTTGGAACAATGACGGAGGTCGGTGTGTCCTTTTTCATTTCTTTATATCTATGTTGTTAAATGATATATGTTCACTTTCATTTCTCAAAAGATGTTTTATGACACACCAAAATTGGGTCAGCTATTGGCATGCCATGCAATTTTGATCAGATTTAGGTTAATTACCACTCAACGTTTAATGACTCGATATGGCACATAAACTTGACATCATCTCCGCAAATGGCCAAGGCTTGAATAATGAAAAAAGAGGATTGACGTGTTCGAAAATATGAAAAAACGAAAAGGTAACATTTATTGTATCCAGGATACACATTTTACTGAAAGTATTGAACAAAAAATCAAATTAGAATGGGGCTCTTCAGAAGCCAGGTTTAGTTCGTACACCAGTCAGTCGAGAGGAGTAGCTATCTTATTTAGAGATATCTTTGAATTTGAAATTCTCAAAGAAATAAAAGACAGTGATAGTGGCAGCTTTATGATACTTAAAATAAAACAGAAAAGAGATATTAAGCATTACAAATGCTTATGGTCCAATTGTAGATACGCCCAACTTTTATCAGGACATTAAACATAAAATACTAGTTCTAGAAACTGAAACTAATATTATATGGGGTGACTTTAATCTAGTCCAAGATCAATCAAAGATGATTTCAATTATTTACATATAAATAATCCCAATTCAAAAAGAAGCTGTACTTGATATGATGGATGAACTTAACACCGTGTACTGGAGCGGCGTTTATATAAGCCACTAGGCTTGTTCGCCTATCCAGATTTCTGCATTGACGAAATAAAAAATATGTTTAAACCATTTATGATCCCTGGCTGGAATTAAACTTAGATGTAAAAGATATACTCTTTGAAACAAGCACGTTTAGATTTCTTTCTTGTTGGTAGAAATATGGAAAAATCTATCATTAGCTCTAAAATAGAACATAGTTACAGATCAGATCACTCAGTAATATCGTTACATATTGAATTTACATCTCTTGAGAAAGGAAAGGGTTTTTGAAATTTAACAACAGTTTGTTACATGATCCCGAATATGTGCGAGAAATCTAAGGTATTATTAACGAGACTGTAGATCAATATCACACTCGAGACAAAGATGGAGATAAAGTACTAAAGATAAATGAATAATTGTTTTTCGAGGTACCAATGTGCAATATTCGAGGCCACACAATAAAATATTCATCCCAGAAAAAGAAAGAAAGACTAAAATTAGAAGAAGAATACAATGAAACACTTGAAAGTCTTGAAGTAAAATTAGACAGTACTGACAGTGAACAGTCAAAATTGATACAAGAAATTAATATAATAAAAGATCAGCAACTTGAATTAAATAAATACAAAACAGTAGGGATTTATATAGAGATCAAAAGCAAAATGGTATGAAAAGGAGAAAAACCAACAAAATTCTTATCTCTTGAAAAACAGAATTTCTTTAACAAAGCAATAACTAAGCTAGAAACTGATGACGGACAAATAAGCGCAACAAAGGATATTAACAACCATGCAAAGACATATTTTGAAACTTTATATATCAGTAAACATGTCAAAGATGTCGATCTAGAATTCTTATTCAAAGATAGTGAAATACCTAGATTATCTGACAACGACGCCCATTCTCTTGAAGGCGAAATACAATACGATGAAGTGCTTTCAGCATTGAAAAATATGAAAATGAAAAAAGCCCTGGTCCATCAGGTTTTACAGCTGAATTCTATAAACTATTTTGGAAAGACATCAATAAATACCTATTCAATTCATTAAATGAAGCATATAGCATCCATACTATTACACTTCCATCCTAAATCTGACGACGTTGAGTAATTTAAGCGTCTAAACGTTCTCCTGGACGTCAGTATACTCTTTGCAAACCATCTGAGCTGTTCATATGGAACTAATATACTGCCAAAGTGTTGTGTTCTAAACTTTATTTGCTGTTTCTGGTTTTGAAACAAATTGTTCAACGTTTTTCCTCCAAAGAGCCTAAAAGAATGACGTTCTGGCATTGATGTATAATTCAGGTAAGTGACTGTAGAAACTGTTGTCAATGTTTGTAGAATTTACCCGTTACAGCAGAAGATTTAACATGAAGATACAATTCCATATTTTGACATGTAGTATGTGTTCCCTTGTTGTTTTAAAATACGCCTACCCATTTAAAAACACGTGTTATCTTCAACATTTGGTAGTGGGTCATTAACAGCTGCTTGTGCTATTGTCATAATTGCATATGTACTCTGCATGTTGTCAGACAATGATCCTCTGTGTAGAAAGGGCCATTTCCCCAACAGTTCTTGAGGATATAAACACACAAGCACACACAAGCACACTCACAACATCACAACCCACACTGGATATCTAAGACGAAACGATAAACAAGTGAAGAGTACATGGGTATTTACTTTGGCTTTATTAATTTCTGTAACAAGTATTCATTCAATTTGTAATATTAGGTAAACGTTATATCCTGGTTCAGACGTCATTAGCCAATGATAGGTATGCCTTGGGTGCACGTGTCACACATGTTGCAGTACCGGGGGCAGTAGTGGCAGGCCGTACACGGTTCTGAGCAGACGTTGAGCGATGCCTGTAGAGAGGCACAGTCGGCCTTGGGATGATCCGCACACTGACTGGAGTCATGATCTGTCAACAGGCATTTACAGAGAGGTATCAGCAAACATCAAGTATAATTCAAATATTGTTTGTCTTTGGAGTAATACGCTTTTAAAGTTACGGTAATGAAAGTGAGTGAGGTTTTTCCCTGCTTTCGACAATATTCAACAAGAAATGGGCTTCACACATTATTATAATCATGTAGTGAATGGAATCTTCGGCGTGACGAGCGAACGCTTTTACCAGTAGGCAGCCCACCGACCCTGGCAAGGATAACAGAAAAACGGAAGAAGCTTTGAGTTATACATACGACATAATCCTCCTTGTAGATGGTAACCATGGAAACAGCGTACACAATTCGAATATGATGAGGAGGAGTTACACTCTGCTGCTTGACATCCCGCATCAGGGAGGGGACAGACTGACAAAAAAGAAAGTACATGTATTTCTGGTGAACTCCTGTTTGATTCGGTGCTTTAAACCAAATTCTTATATACTAAACAGCAGAAGAAACGTCAGTTTGGAATTTTCCTTCGCAGAAACGGATAACTGTAAACTCATTTAATGTTTTGATTGTATATTTTTCACAACATCTCCAACTTTACCTGAGCAAAGACATTCCTTCCCAAACTCAGAATGGAATGCAGGAAATGGTCTCAAAAACGCAACCTGATCTCGAGATGGTACGGTGTTCTCCATGTTTTTCATGCAACTCAAAGGTGCATATGCTGTTCACAAGGACCAGCCCTATAAAATACACCCCCAAACCTGGTTGAAACATTCACATTACAACATCAGCAGGATGGCGCGACTCACGACAGCTCAGAGGAACCAGGCGCTAGGAAGAATGGAAGCTGACCACACTGTACAAGCCTGTTGCCAATCACTTCCAGGTCAACGTTCGGACCATCTACAGGCTGCAGCAACGTTTCCGGGCCACCAACACCACAAATGATCGCCCCCGTACTGGCAGACCAAGGGTGACCACAAGACGACAAGACCGCCATGTTGTGCAACAGCATGTACAGAATCCCTTCATGCAGGCATCCGAAACAGCACGCCAGACAGTGGGAACACACGGAAGACCAATTAGTACTGATACAGTACGCCGACGTCTTAACAGCGGGAACCTCCATTGCCGTAGACCTTACCGTGGACCTATCCTCACCCCTCGTCATCGGCGTGAACGTCTACAGTTTGCCCTACAACACCAAAACTGGCGATACAGGCAATGGAGAACTGTTCTGTTCACAGATGAGAGTCGGTACTGCGTATCAACTGCAGATGGCAGAACAAGAATATGGCGACGACGTGGCCAGCGTTACTCAGACCAATGTGTTATGGAAAGAGACTCATGGGGAGGTGCAAGCATCATGGTATGAGGTGGAATAGGCCTGAACCAGAGAGTGGGTCCTGTGGTGTTCCAGAACCTTGGTCCAGGGAGAGGAGGCGGCATCACAGCGGTGCGCTACATCGACCAAGCTCTCAGACCCCACGTCATACCACATTTCGCACGTCACCGGAACAACATTTTCCAGCATGATAACGCCCGGGCCCATACTGCCAGAGCTACACAGGACTTCCTACAGCACAACGGTGTCAACATTATGCAGTGGCCAGCCCTTAGTCCTGATTTAAACCCAATTGCACATCTTTGGGGTGAAATTCAGAGGAGACTGAATAATGTCATACCAAGGCCGAACACAGCCGATTTATTGCGCCAGGCCTTTCTCAGAGTGTGGTTCCAGGTGCCAATGGCCTTCATCAATCGATCGGTGCACTCCATGCATAGACGCTGTGCTGCAGTTATTGCCACTCGTGGTGGTCACACTAGATACTGAACTGAGAGTCTGAATGGACTGCAAACGTTCACGTAATGTCTTGAAATTGTTCTGAGTTGTTCATTGATGTATCAAGATATTGTACACAAAAATGTTTTGATCCGCCTTTATGTCCATTTCTGTAATGATTTGATTACAGTGCCTATCTAATTTTGAATTCGTACTGACGTTTTTTTTGCTGCTTAGTATATTTTTGTAAGAATTACTAGAACGAAGAATTGAATAGGCTGTCAGGTCTTGCTCTTTACTGGACTTTAATGAGGACATCACTTCCAGTTCATCAATGTCATTTGTCGCTTACAACATACATAAATTCTATATAACGCTTAATGCTTTCGGCCTTTGGCGCACTTACCAGGATCATCCCTCGAGAATTGAGAAAGTAAACAGTTTACCATCACAGACTGTTCCGCTGATGAAGAAGCCAGGAGCACACTTCCTGCACCAGTGTTTGAAGCAGCCGTCTCTGGCAACGTCTACACAATCAGGGATCAGGATCGTGGACGGACAGGCTGACAGATAGATAATGTCATGGTAAACATCCAAATATATCAGAACTGAACTGGTCGTGGCATGCTGCTCAGGGGCGTCGGAAGCGCTCGTAAGAGTTGCAGCATTATATTCATCAATCAAATTATTTTCATCATCTGTAGATACTGTAAAAAGATTTGATTTTTAGCGATACTTTCATATTCCTTTCGCGGCTATTTTCCCATTTACAGTAAACGGAAATTGTTTCTGAGGTGAGTCAAGGCTGGGTATTCTTTTGCACTGACGGTCTGTATCTATATTCTATCTCAACTCTAGAACAAAACAACAACCCGACCCTTAATTCATTTTCAAATTGCTTTGATCCGGAATCACTTTATTGCCCCTTTGTATACTCAATCTACAAGGTGGTGAGTTAAGAAATAAATTTGCAATAATTAAAAGAAGTACTCAAGCGCTGGTAAACGGGGAGTAACTATCATATGGTTCTCTCAAGGTAGCCAAATTACTCTTCATTAATTAATGACGGATTAACGAGATTCCCACTGTCCCTATCTACTATCTACGTGTAGGTATATGGTATTTATGTCATGGTATGAATGGAACGCAAGAAAACATGCATCTGACCTGTGCATTGGTTGTTAAAGAAGAACAACCCGTCTTTGCATTTCGTGCAGGTCACCTGTCGAGGACCTGTACACTCGACTTCTTGGCAGTCAGGTCCCGTTTGAGGGCATTCTGGAAGATGGACGTAAAGATGTCAAAGAAATGAATGCAATGTACATGTGTTGTTAGTATGACATGATACTGGTAGAACCACCAGGAGGGAATACTGGAATAACCAACTGTTATATAAGGTATATATAATCAGTATCAATTGTACTAAACGATTTACTAATCACGATTATTTGAAATGCTGTATTTTGTTTTAGATAATTCTGATGGATTTCTTCATACTGATCCCTGGTATGTTGCAAACCAAACCTATTTCCAAAACAGCTTTACTTTCAACCGTCGGAATGTCTGTTGTTCCACATAGCATCAACAAAATTATCCGACTGGATTTTCGGTCCGTCGATCACTTTCTCTGCTTTGATTACAACCCTCAGAAGTACTACTTTGAGGCTTCAGGCTAAATCATTGGTTGGTTTGTTGTTTAACGCCACACTTGGCATCTGGCGGCGGACTGTAAATAATCGAGTCTGGACCAGACAATCCAGTGATCAACAGCATGAGCATCGACCTACGTAATTGGGATACGATGGCATGTGTCAACCAAGACAGCGAGCCTGACCACCCGATCCCGTTAATCCCCTAACGACAAGCATTGGTTGCTTAAGACCAATTCTAACCCGCATCTTCACGGGTCGGCTAAATACTCCCCTATTTGAAGCAAATTGGGCGAATGGCAAATGCCGGTAGGGCATGACATGCTTACACATTTCGTGAACACCTGGTGTCATCACTGACTTTCAGTGGCCCGTTCACATGTCTTTCACAGCTATTTTACCCTTTACACCAAATGGAATCAGTCAATACTGGGTAATCTGTTGCACTGACGTTATAGTCAAACAACCTTGTGCCGAAGTGGAAGAAATCTATGTAAACTATTCGAGTAATCCCATTTTCGACACAACAGAAAAAAACGGGGAATACAAAAATATTTACACAGGGAACAAAAACAATTACTTCGATACAACAGTATCTTGGACACATGAAAGACACAAGGGTGTTGCTGGACGTTGTATGGGTTGCTGGACGTTGTATGGATTTATGAGTGCGTGTGCGTGCGTGTGTGTGTGTGTGTGTGAGAGAGAGAGAGAGAGTGAGTGATTATGTGTGTGTGTGAGTGTATTGATAGATGGAGAGAAAGAGGGGGAAACTCGTCACACGTAAAGACCTTTTGCACCTGGTCCAGTAACATTCTGATGTACACATCCCTAATGTTTCATGAAACAAAACTATCACTCGATATAGAGGATGATCTCACCTGAACAGGTGTTTCCTGTGAGATAGAAGCTCGGATAACAGCTGGTGCAGCGGACGTCGGTGGCGGAGGAGCAGATCAGATCACGGCATCCAGCATGGGGGCGAGGGCATACTGTTTCAGAATACCATCATGTAAATTTATAAATAACATGAAAGTCTTCATGACCGAACGGAAATGTATCTGAGACTTTGATTACGTGCCTAATTATATGTGAATTCTGTTTTGACCATTCAAGTACAAAAAGAGGCGAGGGTTTGCCCTTTACATTCATAAAATGTGAAACAGCTACATGCGTTCTGTCAACGCTGGCCACTGGCTAACACACCAATAGAACCGAAACCACCTGAGTCCCGATCCACAAAGTGTTCGTAACATTACGACCTGTCGTAAATACAACGAATGTCGTGGATGGTCGGTGTTAGCCAACGACATTCGTAGTTTTTACGACAGGTCGTAACATTACGAAAGCTTTGTGGATCGGGACCATGATTCGTATATTACAAACCCAGCACCTACTGCCCGGAAGTGGTCTGTCATTCCATCAATGCTTCCGTCCAATTTGTAATTAAAGTGTTTCAACCATCCTACGGCGGTGTTTTCTAGATGTTGCTTACAATGTTTCAACCATTCTGCGGTAGTGTTATCTCAAGTTACCTTCACTGTTTCAACCAATCTGCTGTTGTGTTATCTAGAATAACTAGATGGGGTATCTGTCCTGTTTCAAACATTCTATTATTGTGGTATTCTTTGGTGATGACAAGTGGGAACAATGGGACTTGATAATTTCGTGGGAAATACTGTCAGTGTTTTCAGACTATAGTGCCCGTTGATGTAACGAAATATGTGTAGCATAGACAGATTCATTTTATGCCAAATGCCAAGCACAATTCTATAGATGCCTCATCTATAGCAATTCCATCAATCGGTATTCCATCCATCCAATCAACATATAGGGAAATGTTCTTTCGCCTAGCTGTTTTAAGTGTGTGAGTGAAGTTAGTTTTACGCCGCACTCAGCAATATTCCAGCTTTGCTGTGCAGACGCTTTCAGTGTTGTCACAACCCCTAGTGTACAGTTCACAACCCTGTTGCACTTAATAGAACCCGCGAATCCGTTGGTATATGACCAGATGGTGGCCACATGAATACGTGCAAACACATAGTTGCGGGTACAGCAACGTGCAGTAAACTTGGACAAAAAAGTGTGTGATTATGTGTCCCAGTCCACCCAGCTGTGAATGGATACCTCGTAAGGATTGGAAAGCTACATTAACTCGGTGCGCCTAGTGGCTACAAGAGTTGTATGTTCCCCAGGGAGTTGAGATTGAAACTACGATGTGCCGTTTGAGCTTGGCATCCAATGATCGAGGGAAAATCAAAGTGCCTTTCAGCAGCTGAGCTGGATATTTGCGCTATACAAATGCTATAATAATAATAATAATAATAATAATAATAATAATAATAATAATAATAATATATGGCGGAGGTCTGTAAATAATCGAGTCTGGTTCAGACAATCCAGTGATCAACAGCATGAGCATCGACCTACGCAGTTGGTAACCGATGACATGTGTCAACCAAGTCAGCGAGCCTGACCACCCGTTCCCGAGCTTTTTCTAAGCGCCAGGCCGTGTGTTGTAGTATGTATTTTGTGTGTGTGATTTTGTAATGTGGTTTTTGGTGTTTTATTTTATCTATTTGTTTGTAGCTGTTTTGTTCTAGTTTGTTCTCTTTCGCTTTTGTTCACGTTGCAGCGGCAACGTGTCGGGCACACACAGACTTCATATCAGGAGCTTACCTCATACACAGTGTAAACTTCTGCATAAAACCAAATGTGCTGCAGTGGTGGTGTTTTCAATTTATGATAGTTTAGTTTTTCTCGTTTTCAAGTAACCGTTTGGACATCAAAAGTACGATTGTTTCGCTGTTAATCAGAATAATTTGATCAGTGCCACATCTTTAGTGAAAGCAATGGTACGGGACACATGTCGTACAGTGGTCGCACAGTTGTGTTTCTTTTTTGCAGAAGGATCCGCTGATCGTTGACTCCTGACTGACTGACTGAGTTTGGTTTTACGCCGCTTCTGCAATATTCCAGCAATATCACGTCGGAGACACCAGAAATGGGCTTCACACATTGTACCCCATTCTCTTCCCACAGAGGTTACTTGTCATATCTTCCTACGAACCTCTGTTCTAATACGGCCATATTTCCCGGTTCTCGTAAAATCCCCTAGCGGCAAAAGATCGCAACACGAATTATCTCCCTTCTTTCTATCCAATCAGAACACGTGTTACATCGACTTAGATTCAACTTGACTAACACAAGCAAATGTGGGGCCACAAATATCCCCCATCTGCCGGGGACTTGTGTTGATGTTACACACAAGACGTTTAATGGCTAGCTTGTCCGTTGTCAACGAGGGCGATGGAGACGCCACTGATCCGCCATAACATGACTGAGTTCTGTCTAGAAGAAACGTTTGCGCATCGCACAGGGAAGAAGTTTAGTTTTCTCGAAGCATACGGAAATTACCGAGGCCTTGCGAATGATCACTTTTGAAACGTCACTGATTGCACAACTAAATCTGATTGCCTCCAATCACGAGTCTTGAACGCTCACACCATGAAAGGGGCCGTATTTAGAATAGAAGTTACGTAGGAAGATATGACAGGAGTAATCTCTGTGTGAATTCGAACCTTCAGCGTGACAAGCGCGACGTTGACTCCTGTATTCAGTACACATATGGTCTAACACATGCTTTCATCAAGGTCGTGGCTTTCATCAAAGTTGTGCGTAATAGTAAATGTGTCGTTGGCATTTCTAATCTGATGCATCAGTCACAAGCATGTATAATACAAATCCCTATTTTGACTTCTACTATAAATTTCGTTGTTGTTTTGGGTTAGTTCTTGGGTTTTTTTTGGTTTTTTTATTTTTGTAGAAAATACTTTCATGTGAACAGTTGACTTGTCTTTGCATGTGTTCGTGATGGCTGTCAAGGTCACCAATACCAGGTATTAGTATTTGACAGTGATTCCTACCACAAACGATAATGCTGTGATTGACTGATTGATTATGATGCATCACAGTTTGCTGTGTATCCTGCCGCTATTAATTGTACATCAAAGTATATTCTTAACCTACCCTCGCAAGCACCAGCTTTTCGGTAGAATCCCTGCTCGCACCTGCTGCACCTCCTGAAGAAGCAACTGGATGGTGTCTCCTCCTCCTCGCAGTGCAGGATGGGTGTGTGGGGTGGACACGCTGAAACAAATACGGAGTTTCAAACACAAATCGGGCAGTAGGGTAGCTTAGTGGTTAAAACGCTCGTTACGCCGAGGATCCAAGATCACTATGTGAGAGGCCCATTTCTGGTGTCCCCCCCATGGTATTGCTGGAGTATTGCTGAAGGAGTAACAGTCACTCACTCCCATACAAATATCTTATTTCTACCACAATGAATTTTATGGAAGCTACAAACTAACCCCTGCACTGTCCATGGAAGAGGGTATGACCTCCCCGACACAGCACACATATTGGGTGGGCGGGATCGTCACATCTGGCCAACTCGCAATTTGTAAAGTTGTGACGGCAATCTGGGAACAAATAAAAAGAAACAAAAACCGTAAGATATCAAGAAATGGACATATTTTATCAACCCAAACACATCCATCGCAGATTAATGTAACAGTCTAATGACTTTGCGTTATGTAAATATAAAACGTCAATGCCAGAGAATAACCAGTCTCGATTATACGCCGAACAGATTCCGCTGGGCGTGACAGAAAACATCCTTAGTGCCAAGGATAACTTATATGTACATACACCAAAAGCGTCAGATGCATTATTTTCCCGGAGTGATGGGGTAGCTTAGTGGTTAAAGCGTTCGCTCGTCACGTCAAAGACCCGGGCTCGATTCCCCACATGGGTACAATGTGTTAAGCCCATTTCTGGTGTCCCCCGCCGTGATATCGCTGGAATATTGCTAAAAGTGGCGTAAAACCAAACTCACTCACTCACTCATTATTTTCCCGTTCCAGATATAAACAAAAAAAACGAAATCAACGGATATTTTACTTCCTGATAAGGAGGCAGTGGTGCAGCATACTGTTTTAAGCTTTCGCTCGTCACGCAAAAGAACCTAGTTCGAACTCATTCATTCCTGCAAACGAAAGCTGATATCAGCGATATCACATTCAATCCTCTCTATTTCCCAGCTGAAATACTGAAAAATACATGTATACCAAATCCATGACAAATTGCATTTCCGGTATAATTTACCTGTTTCTCTACATGTTCGTGCAGGTGTCTGTAAAAATGTTTCATATTATAATGTGTCAGTGTAATTCATCGTGAAACAGTGATGCAATTGTATTACATTGTTTGTTAAGACCCAGGGCCTAGATTTTTTGTTACTCTCAGCGCTAAGATAGTCGTAAGTGCCATACATTAACATTAACTCACGACTATCGCAGCGCTAAAAGCTTAAAACCTATAGAAGGCATTTAGACAAGTGGTGTGTTTGTTACTCATTTTCAGACTGGGAGTCAAAAGTACTAAAGAAGTTTCTAGAACTCATCAACTAATACAACATATAGTTAAAACCTCCTAGAAGAATTCTGGGACACGCACATTTTACGTTCATCTCATCTCATTTTCAAGACCAGTCCGCCATATAGCTGGAATATTGCTAAACTAAACTCACTAACTTCAAGACCAGTAGTCTGGGAAGACTGTTACGTTCATCCTGGTCATCCAGCCTAGGCCTGGTTGTAAGCTTGACCACTGTTGCTGCTTGGAGAACACTAATGTCACCTATTTCATTACATATACCACTGCTGTTTTATATCCTATTGCCTTTGTAACTGTACTGTCTGGGTCATTACTTTACATTAATATGCATTGATTTGTAAACCTATTTGATTTCATGATATTCAATAGATAATTCAAAACATTTCTTGGGTTGTAATTGGTTTGACACCTATTTCTTTTACTAAATATTTCTGATCCCTGGGAAAATGGCACATTAATAGTGTTACGCATATATTTACTCTTGAAAAGGAAGGGGATCCTGAACTTTCAATTTGGATAGGAAGTATATTAAGCGTTAACAAACTTTTCAAAGACAGACATCTTATGAACGCACCACCATTTATCGGTATCACCACCCCTAAACACAATGCACGGGATGCACGTGCACAACGAAGTATCCCCATACACGTGCATGGGGTGTCATTCTTGATTCTGACGGTATTCAAGAAGGTCGATAAATCAATGTAGAGCGATTACTGTACAAACAACTATGGTCATAAGGAAGTGCAAGAGGTGATGCACTCTCAAAGCATTCATTGCTATCATATCAACATTGATTGACTCCGATATAACTCAATTCTTTTTCAATCATAAATTGAAATATGTGAATGAATGTATATATCCAGATATGACATATGATATATATATATCATGATATATACAGATATGACATATGATACCCACCAGGAGACTAATTGTAACATTAACATCAGAGAATAGTGGAGGTGTGCCAGAGTCCGTGGCCCGCACCGATACAACAACCTGGCTAGTGTCACTGTTCATGAGAGGAACGACCACGGAGAGGACACCGGTGACACCATCCACGGCGAAGTGGGAGTCGAGGCCGATGGGGTAGGTCCGGCTGATGCTGTACCTCACCTGGGCATTGACCCCAATGTCGGCGTCTGTGGCCTTTGGAAGATAAGGTTAATATATGTATACTATTAGTATTGGTGTTGCGCTGTTTAAATTGTAATGTCAGCTGAAAATGGACATAGATTTTAAACGTTAACTTTGATTATGAAAAACATATTTTATTCCGGTTTGCTATATTATATATATATATATATGTGTGTGTGTGTGTGTGTGTGTGTGTGTGTGTGTGTGTGTGTGTATGTATATATATATATTTCCTTGAACACCTAGATATATTTTTTCTGAAGATGTTTCCACTTTTTTGTTGTCGCTGACTGAAAATATGCTTAGTAACATCACTGAGTACTTGCTATACTAGCTTCCTGAGGGAACTGAAGAGGAAGCAAATGTAGACAATGCCATCATAGTTAAGGTTAAAAGACGTAAAAGGTGTGTAATTTGTATTGAGGAAAATGTCCTTTTGCATCCACGTATTCATTTCCATAACTTTTAGTATAGATGCTTGTTGGCGATAAAAAAGGTGTCCAGATAAAAGCCTTGCATCAACATGACTGCATTAATCGTTTACTGGTAGATTTAACAACATGTAGAAACATAATATCGTTTGTTTCAAACTATGAAGGAACAGCTAACGTGAGCTTGCGCACAATACCTTGCATTTGGTAAACTCACCGACACAATGATTGGTTTACTAAAGGAGGTTTCATTTTCTTTCAAATACCCGTCGTAGTCTCTTCTGAATACCGGTGCATTATCGTTGACGTCCGTGATGCTGACAGTGAGCTGAGCGGTGTCCTTCAATCCTCCGGGGTCTGTGGCCTCCACCGATATGTAGTACACAGACTTGGTCTCTCTGTCCAGCTGGTCAGAGGCCACAGTTACGAGACCAGAGGAATCGATGGAGAACCTTGAACAGAGATGTCGCAGAAACGAATATATTCAGATACAAATGTGTAGGATATTAATATTCTCATGTACACTGTTGAAAAAAAGAAACAGACAGGCGTTTTCAGCATTTCATTTCGATATATTTTGACAGCAGTCGTCATTTGTCATATGGTTGAATCCCGTTAATCATGTCGTGGTTGTTTGTGCACTGCGCATAAACGCATCCCAAAATGTTTCTCTAAATGTTTGGCATAGAAAATGATACATGGAAAGTGCATGCAGAAAAAGTTTTCCACGTAATGCACGTGCAATGTGTCGGAAACAATAGTATAGACATTGATATATAAAAGGCCAAACCAAACTCATCTTTAATTACACAATTAACGACTAAACAAAGATAAAAATGCCAAGGTTGAATGCCACTGACCGAAATATCTCCATTGAACAATTGGAAGCAGGACAGTTCCAGTCTGCCGTTGCAAGACTCCAACGTCCAAAACACACCCTATCTCGATTATGGCATCGATATATCCGGTTCGATTCGACCTAAGATCGTCAAAGAAGTGGAAGACCAAGAGTGGCCACTCCTGCTCAGTACCGATTCATCCGGGTGTTTCTCCTAAGTCACCGATTTGCTACAGCAACGAACATTGCAGGACAGGTGCCTGAAGGATTTCCGACCAAACCATCAGAAATCGTCTGAGAGAAGTGACAATTCAAACACATCGACCGAACATTGGACCTGTCCTGACGCGACTACACAGGCAACAATGTGTCCAATGGTGCAACAGGGTACAGGCATGGTACCTGGGGAACTGGGGACGCGTTTGGTTCGGTGAGGAATCGCGTTTCCTCCTGCAACGACGAACGTCAACAAGACCGTTTTGCGCAAAACTGCGTTCGAAAGGAGGACAGATTTGGTGGAGACAGCTTCAAGGTGTGGGGGATCACGTCCTACAAGGGTAGATCAGAGCTAGTGGTGGTTCAAGGCAATTTTACAGCAAATTGCTACATAGACCAAATCCTGCGACCTCAACAAATTGTTAACCGCCAGAGGGAGCTGTGTCAACCTGACAACACTCAACCCCACATAGCTCGTGTAACAGGTGCCTATCTCGCCACAGCAAACGTCAGTGTCCTTCCCTGGCCTTCCAAATCGCCTGATTTGAACCCTATCGAGCCTTATGGGACGGACTTGATCGACGCGTCAACATCGTCGCCGTTGTCCCCAGACATTTGCAGAGGTTTGCCAACGCGTTGCAGGAGGAATGGCGAAGAATTCCTCAAGCAAAAATCAGACGACTTAATACGTTTAATACATTTCCTTATTTTTAGCCTTTTGAAGAGTTTATTAATATGCATACATCTATACGCACATGATGCAAACCAACAATCTACCAGTTAACACGTACAATAAATACATGCAATACATTCAATGCATACAAATAATATATACGTTATATGCAGTACATACAGGAAATAATGCGATAAACATATACAAGAAAAATATACCGTATATACCACACATACACACGTACAAGAGATCAGGAGACGGAAGAGATCCAGACACACAATAGATCAGGAGGCACAAGAGATCAAAAGACAAAAGAGCTTGGGAGACTCAAGAGAACGATAGACACAAGATATCAAGAGACACAAGAGATCGTGAGACACAAGCGCCCGGGAGGCTCAAGAGATCGACAGACACAAGAGATCAGGAGACACAAGACATTAAGACGAAAAAGAAATCAAGAGACCCAAGATATCAGGAGACAAGAAGATATCAAGACGAACAAGATATTAAGAGACACAAGAGATCAGGAGACAGAAGAGATTCAGACTCACAAGAGATCAGGGGACACAAGAGGTCGGGAGGCACAAGAGATCAGGAGACACAAGATATCAAGACGAGCAAGAGATCGTGAGACACAACATATTGTGGAGTAACAATCAAGGTAGGTTGTTACTCGCTGGTAGCATGTGAATATTTCACTAATGTGAATATTTCACTAATGCGAAAACTATGCGTTCAAACACACAATTACATGGATGCTTACATTCCGTCGCCATCCCGTAGTGCATAAGATACAAATCCGAAGTTCGGCAGATCCTGTCTATAGCCTGAAAAGAGTAGCATTGACAGAATGAACTGAAATACGTGTCACAGTATTGATATTCTTTGTTTCACGTTACAGAACACATGTGTGACAGTGGTTTTACTTTACAATTATATCCTTTTCAAGGATCCGCTGATCGGGGAGTCCAATTCCCTAATTATGATAAGTCGTTTGCAACATACGTGGGAGCCATTTTGTACAGTTCGTCTTGTTTATCCACAATACTAAGAAATGCCCAAACTATACTCAAAGGCAAAGGTTTGTCTTATAATGTATTTTACTATTCTTTCAAGAAGTCCGAAGAAAATAGGCATAAAATATGCCCCTTTAAAACAGGTGGGTCTAAAGCTCGAATCATTGTCACCAAAGCCATTGTGTAGACGTCAACGGGTCCGAAAACACAAATTTGGAAGAATCTGCTAGCATTTCTCTATGCTACGTCCTACTGAAAAGGAATGATGGCGAGCCACTGGAATGCTTGAAACAGCAGTTTAACGTGCATAGGAACACCGTACACCGCTTGTGGAAACGTTATCAGACCGTCCCCGATCGCGATGTGGCCGTCCACCTGTTACCACGCAACAGGTTCTGCGATAAAGATTCCTACCAGCCACACTGACAGCCCAAACAGTTTCTTGTGTCAGTAGCATATCGACAAGGACCATTCGTCGGACACGGAATACGTGCTAGACGTCCTGCCAGACGACAAATTCTGACATTACGTCACCAGCGTCTACGACTGCAGTGGTGCAGGTAACATCTGCGACTGAGAACACGTGGATGGCGACATGTTCTCTTCACTGACGAGTCCAGATTCTTCCTGCATCAAGATGAAGGCCGAACCCGAGTTTACCGGCGACGTGGTGAGCATTATATTAGGAACTGTGTCCTTCAGGTCGATTGTTTTGGCCTCAGTAGAATGATGGTTTGGGATTGGATAACGATTGCTGGACGTACACCTTTGCTTCGCCACCAATGGACATTTAACGAGTCTCAGGTACAGAGACCAATTTATTTATCCAGTCGTCATACCATCTCTCCAGCAGAATGGTCCAGGAATGATCTTCCAGCAGGGCAATGCCAGACCTCCTTTCGCCAGCGGGTTCAGCCATTCTTGGCGCAGTCAACGGTCAACCCTGGTTCGATAAATCCCCAGATCTGTCCCTTATCGACTACGTCTGGCACGTAATGGGGAGGATAACATAAACATATCAGTTGTTAATTCACATATCTTACTTCAAGTCAATCACAATAACTTTTGCCTTTGAGTATATATGACAGCGGAACGTACAAAAACGGTAATGACAAACGACTGATTGATGTCATGACATCACATTCCGTCTTGGTCATGACAAATGTAGAGGTAGAGGTGGTGTGGGCCAGTATTGGTTTAGAACTGGTTAACACGGTACATATGCCGTCACTGTTACGACAGATGTCTAGACAGTACAACCCTCCTGGACAGAGGCAGTGTGGTTGGAATTAAATGTTACATGGTTACAAATACCTTGACGCTGATGACAGATGTGGAGACGCTGCTACCCTCCTGGACAGATGATGTAGGCAGTGTGCGTGAAGTTACATGTTACATTGTTACAAATACCTTGACGCTGATGATAGATGTGGAGACGCTGCTACCCTCCCGGACAGATGCGCTGTATTCTGACATGGTAAAGTTGGGACTGTTGTCATTCTGATTTGTTATATTCAGCTGAATGGTGGTAGATGCACTGTTTCTCTCTCGTGTGGAGGTTTCGTTGGCCCAAACCTGGATATTTACAGGGTAAAGATGAAGTGGTCAAAGAATAGAATCAAAATGATATTGTAGTGGAGCCTCATTGTATACCGGGAGAATGTAATAATCAATGAAGAGTGTTTCATCCACTCCACTACCAATAATCTCAAGGAAGTAACATACATTTCTATGTTGGTGATATGTGTAAATATAAAGTCTGTTATATTGTCTAGCATAAAACGCAGCGCCAGTCAACACTGATCATAATGTTTAATAACGATCAGCTGAAACTGTGCAAAAACTCGTTAGAGAAATGAATACGTTACCTCTCTATAAAAGTATAACAACCCGAGACCTATCTATTATGAGGGATGTAGATGATGATTTGGCTTACATGGGTGTCACTCCTTAACTGTTTCAGTGTTCCATTTCAACACCACTCCAATGTCACGTAGGGAGAGCTAATATGTTGTAGCTCGCAACACGTCAATGCTATAAAAGACACCATGGTTTTATTTGCGTAGCTATGTACGTTGTGTTACCGTCAGTGTAATGCTCTGTCTCTGTTCATAATCCAGGACGGTGTTATCCTTCACTCTGATCAGCAGATTTGTGGACCCCTGGACAGTGGACGGGACAATCTCGAAGTACGTTGATGAATATGAATCCAGTGTCAGCGATAGCTTGGCGTTGTCCCCCTTTATGATAAGAAATATGCATGATATTATTCAGATACAACAGTGGTCATGCATTTACAGTCTATTGACGTGATATCCCGACAGGTGGAACCTGTTAAGTCTAATGTCATTTATTCATTAAAGGCAAACATTGTTTAAGAAAAAGGCAACACCCAGATTGTATCAGTTATGGCATTGTATGTGTGGTTAGTTGTTTAACGCCGCACTCGGCAGTATCCATTGCAAATAGTATAACAGGGAATGCATATTCAGTGTAAGTAATTTGGTGGACAATAGAATCAGCCTGCTCAATTCACTGCTATTAGAATTGGAAACATATCAGACAAAGAATATCTTGAACTTTTCCGGATAATAGCTTTGTTACTTATTGATGAGGTGGTGAGGTTTTTCCAACTTCTAAATGGCATTTATTAATAATCATGTGCATATATAACACAATATTTAAAAAACACAATCACTTATCATGAGG